CCCCCCCCAAAAATACACACACACACGCACAAGGAAAAAACTCTTGCAATATCAAAGTCACTAGAATCCTTATCCCGGACGCCGTTTCTGATATTGAGGTGCTTTAAACAAAGCCGTAATAGAAAAGGGGGTCTCAAGTGCTACTTTCCAACTATATAGCAGGCAAAAATAAAACGACCATACCTCAACACAGATAACAGATGTCACTTGAGCACCAATATTGACAATGCATGCTGTTGATAAACCATTTCCAAAAACTGCAGCAAGACCTTCCTGGTTAAACCAATTCAAACAGCACATGAATAACAAAAATGATTTAACCTACATTTTCATCCCTACTGTTTGATTACACAAGGTACAGTTAGCACTTCTCTATAGTTGCTCAGGTGACTACATGAATAAGGTTTTCCACATTTCAGCAAACCCTTTAACATAAACATTAGCCCTCGGGTGAATAAGAATATTTCATCAGTAAGGACAATGGACGGTAAGAGAATCTCCACGAGCCAAAAAGACAGATGAAATAGGAACTCCAGAAAAGTTTCTAACATGTGCAATTACCTTGGTAAATAAAAAATAAAGAAAGTTTCTAACCTCGGCAATTAAAGTTGTGCAACCAAAACTTTCATAACCATGAACCATGAAAGATCCAGGTTTTCAAATCACCACGTGAGTAATGGCACTTTGAAAATTAATAAAGCTATCCAAAAAGCAAGCATGTCTTCTTGTTAATTTGGAAGACATAAATTGATTTGAAACAAAAGCAATTCTCTAATACTAAAAATGGTACTCCCTCTGTCCATTTTATGTGACACACTTTCCTTTTTAGTCTGTAGCAAAAAGAATGACACATTATTCTATTTTAGGAATTATTTAATCTTCCCATTTTAGCCTTAATGACACGACTTGTTGGGACGCTCACCACTAGTCATTTAAATGAAAAGAAACTCTCAATACCACTCATTTAAAAGGATAATTTTGGTAATTTACATATATTTGGGTTACATGTCAAAAATCTTCTCTAATTTTTTAAACTTCGTACCCAGTCACACCTTCACAGAGGGAGAAATATTTAGGATCTTGAAATTATGATAAGAGCCGGGCGGGTGGGAGAAACATAACAGAGAAGTGACACCCTAAACATAGAATTTGTGGGGAGCAAAAATTATTAAGTTTACTCACCCACCCCCAACCCCCCACCCCCGGAAAACCAACCACTATGCTCAACTTTTCAAATAAATAAGTGCTATTAATAGATTCTGCCCCCTCTTCAATTTTATCAAAATGTAGGTGCTCTATGAGAAATCAAGTCGGGTCCTTCTGCTGGTAAGTTATTGCTAAATGTAATGGGTATAAGATAACAACAACTACTACTACTACTACGCTTCATCCCCAAACAAAGTTGGGGTCAGCGATATGAAACCTCACTTCTTCTTCAAGCTCAACTCNGTTTTTTTTTTTTTTTTTTTTTGGAAAAGGTTAAGGGAAAGGAAAATTGGATGTATTAACTTTGATTGATATTAAATAGCCCAAAAACAACTTCTAAATAGTAACTTAAATTTCCCTTAGAAAGCCAAGCGTAATTCCCATTTTAGAAAGTGCGGCAAGTCTATTTTGAAAATTGCAATTAAGGTAGTAATATGTAAGGTCTTCTACGATTAGAGCTACTAAATGGCACTGCATGATGATACATACACATACACAACTGTTCTAATAGCATTTTTTTGGACAAGTTTACCAGATCTTCCTAGAAATAGAATGAAAAAGCAATGTCATGTAGGTTGGTAGTAAAAGAGTTCTGAATGGGTAAATAAGAAGTTGGTATTTAAACTATTTATGCATATATTTCAAGCAAGAATGAAGGTTTAGATATGACTTGTGTACATGGAATCATTTTATTTTAAAGTTAAAAAGTTCAGGAACATAACATCACCTGGTGGACTACTGCTGAGCTGAACCGTAAGTCACGCAACACGATAGAAAGCATTTCTTTAATTTCTGCAATAAACAACAAAGAAGTGTTATGTCAAAGAAGAAATGGGGTGATCATATGTTAAAGCCACATAACAGATCAGAAACATCTTATATAATCCATACACTCTTTGACACCTCTTTTACTTTGTTGTGCATGGATCTAGACAGCTCCAGTAAGCTTTTATGAAAGACAGAGCACTCTCAAGGAAATGGACACAATACAAGCAGGATATAAAACATAAAAGATCCAGTGACCAGTTAGCGACTAGATTCCTTGTGAATGTACTCAGAGGATAATGGGTGGTTTGATTGACAAGTCATTGAAGGTGGTGAAATTTGAAAATATTTACAGGCGAAGAAAGTAAAATGCAGAAACATTTTTTTCACCTCCAACAGAGGCAAGATAGCAAAGATTGACATGAAATTAAAATCTTATTCTTCTTCTTTATTCAATTTAATAAAATTAAAATCTTTTTAAAATGTTTTTACTGCTGAAGTCCAGCCTGCTTTCATCAATCTGAAGATTAGTCACATATGAGCAATACCTAAGAAATCTTACCAAAGTAATTAAATGACAATCTGAGGAAGCTAAAGGAAAATTTCCTCTTCACCAAATTGTTGGGCATCTCCATGGTTGACAACACCCTCTTTTGAAGTTCTTGTTCTGAATTCTGGTTTTTCCATTTCAAATTCCTCGTAATGGGTGAGTAGAGAAGTTACTTCAAGAGACCTTTTTATGATGGATCACTATCTTCGGCATTAGGAGTGGCAAGGAAATTTTAATGCTTGGAAAACTAGGGAAGACAAGAGAAAGGAAAAGGAAATCACGTATCTTTCCATTTCGTTGTTTGGTGTTACCAGTATGAATAGGAAGGAAAATGGAGATATAATTTTCTTTCGGACCTACTAATTTTAATTTCTCTTTCCTCTTCGATTTTCCCTCTTTTTAAACTTTTGCCTGCCTTTGCCTTACCTTTCATGTTTCTAAAATCAGAAGCAACTACACCAGAACAGCTCTTTGCATTCAGCTCGATTTATTGTCAACTAAACTGACTGTCCTCATTTCTCAGTCCAACAGGACAGCGCATGTGTAAGAGGTTACACTGTCACATTCTTTATTTATATTATGGTGGTGTTGGCCAACTTGTGGAAACCTTAACTAATCCACCAGGTAGCCCACTACAGCACCCAAGAACAAATGTGGGGTATACCTGCCCACTAAGGCTGGAGCAGATGGGTACTCATACTGTCACACACTCAAATATCTCTCTTGATAGTTTAGTTAGTGGAGTATCTTTTTCCATAGAACTCTGAAACTTCACATTACTTCATTAATGAAAACAAGTCTACAGATGACACAATGGCATTAACAAACCAACTCCGGGAGAATGCTCCCAAGAGAGACCTCATGCAGAAGAGAAATAGCAAACCTGGCTAGCCTATGAGCAGCTCAATTCCAAGATCTAGCGGAGTATGCAACTTTTCATTTTTCTCCCAAATATTGCAAATTTAAACAGAATAACAACACTCTAGCCTAAAGATAAATTTACCAGAGTTATGTTTCAGACATAGAAAAGAATGAATAGGGAAAAAATAGAGTATATGTACCACGACTGTCGAATGTCTCTGGAAGAACAAGGATTGCAGAATACATGTTTCTCATGCTATGAGGAATATGCAATTTCTCAACCAAAATCCAATCCCAGATGGTATGCAGGTCTTCAAGAACCTAAAAGATTTCCCCGACTGTTATTATATAAACTAATGAACACTGGAACTCTAGTAAATATGAAACAAGTTACCTTGATATACCTTTACTGGAAAATCAATAAACAACATTTCCAAAGAAATATCAATGCTCAATGCCAAACTTGGAATGCACAATCCAAAAACATTAATTTCAAAAGTAAAGTTACTAATTTGTGAGTAACAACTGAAAGAAACAAATGCACATCAAATTTTCCGCACATTGAAAGGAAAATTTGAAACAAGATATTACCTGCTGCGTAGGGTAATGTTGAGATATATTTAGATGACCTCGGCGTATAGGACGGTGCAAGCAATATGGTTCAGTTGGGGATATTCGTAGAGCTTCCTCTCCACATATGTACTGTCTATATTTACGTTCACTGGAATTAGATTCAACCTTAATCTTGCTTTCCTTCAGAGTGGGGTCTTCGCTGGTACCACCCTCGTTGGGTTCGCTTTCTACTGCTACAGCTAAACATAATTACTAATTCTTGAAATAAAGTGAAACTAACATAATAAACAAACTAAGCATGCTCTCGTATTAACTAAGCATGCTCTTGTGTCATCTACTATTAAAAAACAAACAAAAACTGAACTAATCAGAAAGTATCATCTCTCCGACATGGACGTTCTGATCAATTAGTAGTCTTCTCACCGAGTATAAGCATTGAAATCTTTTAATTACAGAACTCATAAAAGCTAAATTTTCAGTAGAGATATAATCAAACAAGAGTCCATAGTATTCAGAACAAAATGTCGAAAAAGAAAAAAAAATTCAAGTCCACAATTTAAGATTAGGTAATCAACTATAGAAAATAAAAAAAAATTAACAAAATTTGTTGTACAATATCCTTATCATAATGTTCATCCGAGAAGCTTGACAAAGAAATATCAGATAATAGTTAAATGCAGAAAGATTTCCCATAGATACTAAGGTATTAGACCAGCCACAGCAGCTTATGTAGTATTATTCAGAAGGCACCACTCTGACTCAGCTGCTTTAGACATTAACAGCAGCGAATATTGTCGTGCCAACCGAAACATAGGGCTACTTGCCAATCAACTAACTGGCTAGCACATCACTAGCAAGCAAAGTAGAACGAGCAGGCTATGCATGTAGAGGCCCCAAAAAGTAATCAATGCAATACAAAGATTTGTGAATCTGTACATGCCATAATTGGTTTATAACAAAACTATATAACACAATAACATTCAGCATCGAGAGCACAACAGCCAAACCTAAATGAAATTGCCAATATGATAATGCTTCACTCAAGAATGAACAGGTTACAGTTCTCACCCTTTGTTGAAGAATGAGGGACATTTTTTTCTAAAACATCAGTCCAAGTGAACTCTGGCTCTTTCGTGTTATTCTGCAGAGGATATGCATCCACACGCCCCATCTGCAGAGATACACATAAAATACACACAAAAGACTGTCAATAGATGTATTCCGAAAAACATGACTATAGATACTTTAGTTGCACTAATCTCAGATTCCAAGAAATTGTTCCCGAAGAAATTGAGCTTCAATAGCTCAAACAACTACCTCTCATCACACATGTACATGAAGATCTCACAGACTCCAAAACACAAATTTCATCATACTTAAAATGCATAGAGAATTCTCCCAGGTACCTTGCGTGGATAAGAACTGTTAGCTACCTCCTCATCCAAGAATGGAATTCTCAACAGCGAAGCAATCTGATTGAAAAAATTAAAAATATGTGAAATAATAAAAAATATATGATAAACTATTTATGTCATCAATTTATAAATTTCGATTAAAAGGTTCATACTCACACATATGACTAAACGTTTTTTTTTCAAATTCACAGAAATAAAACAAATTGACCATGTTTACTAATAATTCATGTACAAACCATGTCATATGCTCTTTCCCGCTCCATATGTTGTGCAGTTGTAACCTGAGAATTCAGCATCTAAACACCCAAAAAAAACAGACTTTCAAAAAAGATATCATCAAAACACAATAATCACCTTAAATTACAAACTTGAAATCTGAATAAAAAACTAAAAATAAATTAAAATCAAACTCGATTTAGAGAAGAATCATACAAGATTGCAAACTTTAGTTAGAACTTTCTTAGAAACTCCTCCCTTCGTCCTAATTATGTGGCACTGTTTGACTAAGCACGAAGTTTCAGAAGGGAAAAAAATTCTTTTGAAACTTATGGTCTAAAACAAGTCATTAAACATTTGTGTCATCTTAATAACGGCAAAATGAAAAGTTTAAAGTTAAACTAATTCTAAATATGGAACTGTGTCATTCTTTTATAGATGAACTAAAAAGGAAAATATGTCACATAAAATAGGATAGAGCGAGTATACAAATTCAAACTTTGGCCTTACTTGATCTTGAACATGTCGTTTAGGTAATTGAGTAGTGCGACGGGAAATGCAATGAGGTACATTGAATGGAGTATCCTGATTAGCCAATCCAATTCTGATATTTGCGGAACCTAAATTTACAGTGCAATTTTTTTTCGACATAATTTACCAACTGATTAAGCAATTAATTAACTAACACACACAAAAGGTCAAAATTGAGAGAAGTTAGGGTTTTTAGAACCTGGATTGATGACGACGATATTGGAGCCACGCTCGGTGAAGAGGTTCGTAGGGACTATTGTTTTCATGTAATCCTGTGTACCATGCCATTAACTAAAATTGTTAGATTTCTGTGTTTTGTGTGTGTGTGTGTGTGTGTGTGTAGCAATGGAGAAAGTGAGTACCATGGCGAAAAGAGCTTGAGTTGGTGCCGAGGGAGCAGGAGGCAGGAGCTACTGAACTGAAGAAGAAAACGTGAAGTTAAGGTGGGTGCCTTATATACTCCTTGGAATTGACTCGAATTGAATTGTATATATATATATTGATTTCGACTCTACATAAGCTTATAAATGATGACATATGCTTAAGGACAATATTTGAGTTGAGATTGAAATAACAACTACATAATACCACTAGTAGGGTCTGTAGAGTGTGGTACCTACGCAGAACTTATACATACCCTAAGGTAAAGAGGCGGTTTCCGATAAACCTGACTCTCTCCCTCCAAGAACTTTATATCTTGTTCTTGGGTGACCCGAACTCACAACCTCTTGGTTGGAAGTAGAGGGTGCTCACCACTAGAGATTGAAATAAAAAGTTTAATTTAAATTTTAAGTTAGAAAAAATTATAAAAATTTATGTTTGTACAAGCATTTTACTTGAAAAATAATTTCGTATAAGTAAAAAATTGTGATGGAAGCTTATAGATCTTTGATACAAAAGTTTAATTTAAAGTATAAGTTAGAAAAAATTGTAAAATTTTATGTTTGGATAAAAATTTCACTTAGAAAATTAATTTTGTACTATAAGTTAAAGAATTGTGATGGAAGGTTATAACTTTTTGAACAGAAAATATTTGAACTTTTGCATTTGCATACTAGTTATGAATATTTGTAAATACTAAATTTTAAATTTTAAACTTTAAGTGAAATATTGAAATAGTGGCTTGAAAGAATACTTCGAGTAAAATAATTATTTCGACTTACAAATTTTTAACATTCACAAACTTCTTGTTTAAACAAACTTTTTTCTCAACATCAACTTGGCCATAAAAACTATTTCAACTTCAACTTGAAGTATTATTTGCAAACCAATATTTGTTTTACAATTTAGCCCATTATTTCAACTGAACCTGACTAGTTTTTTCTATTACGTGAATAAAAAATTTCAAACTTTTCATATTCTAAAAAAATAAAATACTTACAATTCAGATTCGAAACCAAAACTTCATGACCAAACTTTAGCTTTTCGGGCGCAAAATATTTGAAGGCTATCGTTAGTTATGTTTTTATTTAATTATGTATGTTAAAAGACGAGTTTGATAAACTTTGAAACTCTGATTTCTAAACAAGAAAGAAGAAAGTTATTACTTATTATTATAAAGGTGGCGCTCAAAACAACTTAGGTGTATCTTATACTAATTTATCGCACGCTTACTATCTTCTATTTGTACATATATCAAGTAACTATTTGTCACAAGTTTTAGTCATAAAAATATGAAGATGGACAAAGAATTATAACTATCTGATTTTATGGCGATAAAGTATGATCACCGGAAAGTACAACAGTTGTGGTGTATTACCAAATGGCCAAAGGTATTTACCATGTTATTCACTTAAACTAAATATACTGATACAACTGTTGCGATTATGGACGAATTAATGTTTGAGTTTTGCGATGACTTTGGCCGAGATGATTGAAAATATCATATTTCTCCGAAAAGAAATTAATTCATCAAAGTAAGAGAAAAGTAGAAATAAGAAAAGAAAAAACTAAGTTTGATCAATGAAGTGTACACAACGCATATTGAATCCATTAACAGATACATGCAATGAGTGCTTTTCTACATTGCAAAAACAAGACGGAGTTCACAATTTTGTTTCCATACACTAGATGCTGGCCTTTGAATCATTTATTTGTAATTAAGATAAGTATGAATCTTAATCATTCAAATCTTAGACATTAAGTGTGTTTGTTTTTAAAGTTTGAATCTTAATCATTTACATCTTAATCATTAAGCGCGTTTTTCTTTTTTACTTCACAACCACTTACATGTATGATTAAAATCTATAAGAAAGACTTAATTTCATTAAGATGTTATCATCCACATTCATTACTAACTACCGCCATCACATATCATTATCAACTACTACTACCACCACCACTGCCAACATCCTCAACCATAGCCGCCGTCACTACTACCAACCATCACCCCCACTACCACCATCATCCTCAACCATAACCACACACTCACCCACCTCAGCTACCACAACCAATCACCCCATCACCATCAATTAGGGCTGGGTGGCAAAATGGTTTTTTTTAAAAATAGTTATCCAGGGGTTCCTCAAGTTTGGGAGACTAGGAATTCTCCCAAAAGTGATCATATTCAAGAAGTCATGGATAATATGGATATACATATTATCCACCGGTTAAATCGTTATTTATCTGTATTAAATATGGGCCGGTTCGAATAATTTATCCGTTGTTGCATTGTCCATTTTCGACCCAAACCATATCCGACCGACCCGCCCGTTTTCCACCCCTACCATCAATAACCATAACCGGCACCGCCCACCATTATAAACTACCATCACCTTCCTCAATCACAACCACAAACACTACCACCACCCACCATTATTAACTATCACCACCCACCACCACCATCATCAACCATAATCGCTATTGTTACCGATCACCACTAGCCACTATCTATAACCACCACCATTAGCCAAAACCGCCACCAACCACTGCCTATAGTCTGCACTCACAAGCACTTCGGTTAGCCATCACCACCACCAGCTACTATATAACCACAAACACTACCACCACCCACCATTATTAACTATCACCACTCACTACCACCATCCTCAACCATAATCGCTATTGCTACCGATCACCACTAGTTATTACCTAGAACCACCACCATCAGCCAAAAACGCCACCAACCACTGCCTATAGTCGGCACTCACAAGCACTTCGGTTAGCCATCACCACCACCAGCTACCATATATATAATATTAGATTAATTAGTATTTTATTTAAATTTTATGTTTATTAATTTTAAATAATTAAAGATCAATTTTATATATTCATACGTTAAAAAATAAATAGTCTTAATCACTTAGTATTTAGATCTTAATACACATATTCAAACGTCTTAGTCTTAAAAAAATAAATGAGCGCTAATAGTAATTTACAAACTCTTCACTATTTGTTGGATCTTTCCAAATGGTGCATGTGGGATTTTTTTTTTCTTTTTTTGGTGCAAGGGGTTTTTGTTATTATAACTTACTAGTAGTAAATTTGCCTGCACTTTTGCGCCTACGCAAAGATACCAGTAAACTCATACTCTTATTATGTTTGAATTGCTGAGATCATCTAAATTACTAAAATGATTAAACTCAATAGAGTATAGACATATGAAAATAAAAAATTAATTATTACAAAATCAAAAGGATAAATTAATGAAAGACATATACTACATTCCTTTAGATGTTTTTTTTTTTACGGGAGACTATTTGTGTAACAGTTCCTTTTCAAAATCGGATAAATGTCCGAGAGGTAACTTATTAAAAACAATAAAAAACAGTACAAAGAAAGAAAGGGGTATAGACCATACTGATGCTGGAGGTGAGTTGGATAGGACCAATTCATTTACATTTGATCCTATTAACGCAACTATGTGAATGCATGTATGACGTGCTAGGGAAAAGACAAGGGGGAGAAATTAAAAAATAGTCAAATTTATGAGTGGTCATTCAAAAATAGTCACAGTTTCAAAAGTTATCAAAATTTAGCCACTTTTCATGTAAAGATAAATTTGAACGAAAACACTGTTCAAAATCTGGAAAAATACTCCAGCATAATATACTGGAGTTCCAGCAAAGTATACTGGAACTCCAGTATATTATACTGGACCGGTCTCTGTTACAGCAAAATAGTGGTTATTTTTCAATGACTTGGCAATCGCTGACTATTTTTGTATCCTCTGGGTCTTAGTCAAATATACCCGAAGGAATAGAATGAATCGTCTCTTTTATGTGGTTAACACGGGGCCGAAAGGTTTGACGTGCGTTCTCCTTTAATCTGGTGGTCCCAACAAAAAAACATTAAAGCTCGCGGCCTCAGTTGGCAAAATAAGGGTTGTTGCCCAACTATCTTGCTTTTTCTTTTATTTTAAATATAAAAGAATCTGTTTCTCCACTTGAGGAAGGGGAGTCAAAAAAATGCGAAAAAAGAGCAAAATGTCTATATGACCATAACCCTTTCTTAGTAAGTAAGAAATTAGTAGCAAATAGATTTGAGCAACAGATCCTGACGTGAGATATTTTCGTAATGAAAATAGAGTGGAAACATGAGTTGATCCATAATGAGTATTAGATTGAAGTTCTCTTAAAGAAGACCGTCAACTCATATCCCGAAGATACAAAGGCGAGGCATGAAAAAATTACGATAGAAACAAAACTTGGAAATGAATGATGCGCTCGCGGATGACCAATCCGAAAACTTGCTAGCCCATGCTATTTTGACAAGGGGTCCTCGTTAAAGATAATGCAATGCAACTAATCGTGAAGCATGAAATGCAGGCTTTTAAAAAATGTGATAATCTGGTAAAATATTAATATACAAAATATATATATATCCAGTATAATCCCACTAGTGGGGTCTGGGAAGGGTAGAGTGTACGCATACTTTACCCCTACCCTAGGGTAGAAAGGTTGTTTCCGATAGATCCTCGGCTTCCTCCCTCCAGGAACTCCACACCTTGCTCTTGGGGTGACTCAAACTCACAACCTCTTGGTTGGAAGTGAAGGGTGCTCACCACTAGAGTAACCCACTCTTGTCATATATATATATATATATATACACGCACATGTGTATGTATAAAATAAATAGTAGACATTATTTAAAACGAAGTATTTATATTACATATTTAAAAATATATATATATAAGTTGGTAATTAGTAAAGTAAAGAATAATCGGTAACTTGACTATATCTCAAATGGTTAATATTTTAATTTATATTAATTAATAAAAGCTTCAATTATGGGTTTAAGATTTTTACCAACTCATATGATTATAATATGAAGTTATTGTTTGTTGTATTTTTAAAATAACAAAAAAATAGTTATTTCTTTTCTTATTAATTATGTATACCAAGGAATAAAAAATAAAGTTGGTAAAATACGAAGTTGTGTTTAACAACTAAGAAAAATAAAAAAAGGATAAAAAATAAAATACGAGAAGTTGCAAAATTATGAAAGCACACCATAAGCACCACATTGGAAGGTAA